AAAGCAAGAGGGTACTAAGAACTGGGTTTGGGGGCTGCTGGGGACTGGGCTGTGGGGCTGGGGTCTCAGGGCTGTGTCAGCTTTGCTGTGGCAGGGCTGGGCTGGCGCTGCATGTAGCAGGACGGGGAGTGCTGCCTGGGGTCTTGCCTTTGCCACTGTGGAGGGGGCTGGGTGTGGTGCTGGGGCTGGCCATGCCCTAGGCCAGGGGGGGTGGGCACTCGGTGCTGAGGCTGGTGCCTTGGGGCCTTGGCTGGGCGCCTGGCTTCAGTTTGGGAAGAAAGGGAAGCACCAGCCTCTGCAGCGCCAGGAGGGGAGCCGAGGCCTCCAGCTTGGGGCGGAAGGAAGCGCCTGTGGTTGTGAAGCAGGCTGGGCCTGCAGGGGAGCTGGGAGCTGCTGGGGGCTTGTCCCCAGCATGCAAGAGGGGCTGGCAGGGAGCTAATTCACTGCCAGGGGTAGAGGCAGCCCCCAGGTCTGTGCCCAGACTGTGAGCCCCCTCCAGCTCCAAGGCAGGTTCTGCAAAACACTGCCCAGGCTGGGGGCTGCACTGAAGGGATCTGGCCTCAGCCCTGCCAGTCATGCTGCCCCTTTGTCTCCCTCCCAGGTATCCATGCACTTCAACCCCGGCTGGAACGACTCCTCCGTGAACCTGCTGCACGTGCAAGCTGTGGATGCCAACAGCACGCTGCACTACGTGTGGAGCAGCCTAGGGGTGCCTGCCGTGCTGCTGCTGTACACAGAGAATGAGCACAGCACCCTGCACATCAACTGGCCCCAGCTTCTCTCCCCTGACCCCGCCGGGGCCATCTGGGTAGAGCCGCCCAGCAGTGTCCTCCATGCCAGCGCCGTGGTCTTCACCAAGGTGGGGGACTGGGTTGTAGCGCACCCCTGCACCCCAGCCTTTGGCTGCCCTTTGCCACCCCTGCCCCTGGGTGGGGGCTGGTGGGCTGGGAGCTCTGCGGGGTGCAGAGGGGAAGAGGGCGGGAGTGGTCCCCAGCTAACCCAGCCCCATCTCTCACGTGGCCCCAGCTATTCGAGTATGATGGGGCCAATGCATCGGGCCCAGCCCGCGCGCTCTTCTATCCACCCTACGACCTGGCCGCCTTCTCTTGGGACAGTGTGAACCGGACCCTGAACCACACGGCCCTGACGGCTGCCTTCCGGGGCACGGGCCCCCCCGGGACCTTCCACAACGGCAGCATCGCCTTCCAGGTAAGGGCCTGTCCCACTGTAAGAACATTAGAGCTGCCCTTGACTGGGTCGGACCCAGGGTCTGTCATTCCCAGTGTCACATCACAGCAGAGGCTGAGACGGGAACAGGGAAAAACCCTAGTGATTCCCTCTCTCGCTTCCAGCATTTAAGGTCTAGATGCAGAGGCCGTGCCCCTTGCTCCCCTGACCAATAGCTACTGATGTCCCTTTCCTTCAAGGACGTGTCCAGTCCCCTTGTTGCCACCAGATACAGTGGAAGCCAAGGTTCACAAGTCCCACCCTTTCATTACAAACTTCCCCTTCTCTGTTGCTACTGGGGTTCAGGGTTCTGGCCTCAGCCCTATGCAGTCGCCCTCCAAAATAGCTTGCAAAGGAAGTAGCCTTAGGGACGACAGTGGGGAGATGGGGACAGAGCCAGGGGTGGCTCTGAAGCCTCTGGGGTCCCCCTAGCCATTGTGTGACCCCCCACCCCCCTCCAGGTGACGGCGTATGAGGAGAGCAGCCGGGACAGGCGCCTACCGGGGCTGCTGCACACGGCCAACAGCTCCAAGCTGGAGTTCGTGATGGATGGGGTGGCCCCACGTGGCAACAGCTCCCGCTTCGTGCTGGAGATGGTGATGGTGGAAGGGCCCGGCAGACACCGGCGCCTGGAGTCCGCGCGCTCCATCGATGATGAGTACACGCCCACCATCTTCGAGGTGAGAGTTGAGGGGGAATGTCCCAGGGTACCACTCTATTACTGCTGACGGCTCTGGGGTTGGACCTGGCTGCGGTTTGGGGGGGTATCCCAGGGCAGTCCCAGCTGATTGAGGACCCACATGGCTTGCGGGGGCCAGGGGGAATTGTGGCTGATTCTGGGTTAGCGGCTCCAGGAACTCTCCCACTGGGTTCAGAGCTAGATGCCACGTGTTGGGGACAGCAAAGAACTCCTCTTGGGGATTTATTTGGCAAGTGGGTACCCCTGTGTGTTGTGGGGCTTGTGGCTTTAATGCCAGCCTTCATGCTGGTGCCTGGATGGGTGGTGGGGTGGATCTAGGCATAGAAAGTCCCAGGCCATTGCTGGGGGGAGGATTCTGGGCATCCAGGGTTTTGGTGTGCCTTCACCAACTAAGTGCAGTCTCCAGAACCCAGGCATCCTGACTCCCCCTCTCCCCTTCCCTGATACATACCCCCCCCTTCCACAGATGGTGCAGCTGGTGTCAGAGCCGCAAGGCACCCACGCCGGCCCCGGCTTCCTGCAATGGAAGACAACGGCGTATGGGGCCCGTGAGGCCAAGCGGGAGAATGGGATCCGGTGCCGCTACTCTCCTCTGCAGGCGGTCAATGGGACTCTGCTGGGGCCCAGCATTGCACATGCCTACTTTGGAAAGGACGTGGGTGGCCTGGCTGCCATCAATATCTCCTTCGGGGGTGAGGATGGCGAGATCTATGCGAGCACTGGCTATCTTAGCTGGTGAGTAGCACCTTCCACCCCCTGTTTCCTTGATGCTCTCATGGTGCCTGGTTGCAGGGTGGAGATGCTGGGGGCTTTCCTTGCTGCCCTTCCCCTGCCAGCAGCCCTGTGGGCTCAAGGGTCCCTGGGCTGGGACTCTGTCCCCTGCCTGTATTGTCCATCATGCATTGCTTAACGCTCGCCCTTGAGGAAACTGAAGCCTGCAGAGGCAGAATATGATCTGCTTTTAGCCAGCAGGGTTTGAACCCAGGTCAGTGCCCTGATGACGAGGGGTTTGAAGCCTTCCTCCCACACAGCCCAAGGAAGGTTATCGCATAGCTCATCTGCCTTCACTGCTGATAAGACATGTTCTGCCCCCATGCCAGGTCCGTGCTGCTGGGCTTTGGCACACCCCCTGAGGATGCCTTCTCCCCGCTCGTGGTGGCCATCATGGCAGTGGCGCTGGGCACCCCAGTTGTGCTGCTGGTGGCAGGGGCCATCGTGGTACTGTTTTTCCAGAAGAAGCGCTACTCGGAGTACGAGCCTATCAACTGACCACGGGCTGGGCCCACGGACCCCCATGTGCAGACCTCTCCCTCTCCATAGGCCGGATGCCTCCCGGGAAACAGTGCAATACTCCATACAGGCGACCCCTGTACCTGAATGCCCCGTGTTTAACTGGGCTCTCAGATGCCTTGAGCAACAATCATTCCCCTTTACCCCACTTCATTCTCCTTTGGAAGCAGTCCCCTGCAGAGCTCCCAGGGCTGGGGACCAGCCGGCTCTAGCCTGAGAACTTGGGGGCGATGCCTGGCACCTCCAAGCCAGTATCCCCAGCATCTCACTCAGTGTTTGCCCCCAGCTGGGGGGACAGTTCCTAGGTGCTTCCAGTACCCCTGGGCTGGGCTGGAGCTGTCTGCTTAGAGCTGGAGAGCATGTCATTAGCTTCTACAAGGATAAACCACTAACAACCTTGGGACCAGTTAAGAAAGACAAAGTTTCAGTCTACTGAGCTGGTGGGGTATGGCTGTGGCCCCCTCCCTGGACCCTGCTGGCATCGGAAGGCAGCTGGGGACAAGATGGAGCCTGTGATGGATCTGAGCACCCGTGTCCTTTTTGCCTTTCACCCTGCCAGAACTATTGGGATCACAAGCTGCCTTCCCTACCGCCAGTCGCAGCTCGTGGAGGAGCTAATGACTGCAGTATCTTAGTCTTGAGGGGCCTGATCATTTTAAAGCAAATGATGGTTTCCTGGCACCGCACAAAGCAGGCTTCGGCGCAGCACCTTGAATCCTATCTCTTCTGCCCAGCGGGGGGAGGTCTCCTATTGGGGCAGAGGGTGGTGCAGTGCCCTGCTGTCGCCTCCCACCTGCTTAGCATCTCCCCCAGACCCTCTCTGGATGTCTCTTTTATACTTGAAATGGTTCCCTATGCCCTTGCCAAGGGGCGGGGGGCACACAACCTTGGTATGTCATGACAGTATCAGGTCACCTGGGGGCACTTGCCCTCTGATCTCACAGACCAATTAAAGGATGGGTTGGATTTTTTTTTTTAAGACATTGGTGTCTCTGGGTAGCTCTGTGCATCAGCAGGGGTGTCCATTACTGAGCAGGTTTATGGCTAAGTCCCATTGTGTTAGGCGCTGCATGTTTTGCAGTAGCTTATCTCTGCTCTGGGGGGTCTTCTATGGACATTGGCTCTCACAGTGCTAGGTGGCTAGTGCATGTATGGAAGATGAGACATGGGGTCTTGCTATACAGAGTAAGTGCTGGCCCTGGTATGGGGGGGAAGAGAGGGCAGCAACCATGTTGTTAGAGCCATTGGTTTTCAGTAAGAGCTGGAATGTGCTGTAGCAGAGACCCATTTGTGCCAGGGATGCGGTTCAAGCTGATGGTCCCAGTGTTATTCTAAACCTAGATAATCTTCTAAGCTGTGCTTTTCCCTACCCAGGTACCCTTTGCCCTAGGTTGGGTGACACTTCACTGTTCCTGTGATGTTCAGCCCCAGAGCTGGCTGCATTTCGGGGCTGAAAAGCAGTTTCTCTCTGCCCCCCGGTGCATGCGGAGGATCCCTGCCTAGGCATTCTGTGCACCCAGTTCAGGATGGAATTACTGATGGGTCCAAAGTCTGCCCTGCACTGCATTTCCCATGATGCTCTGTGGCAGGAGGTGGCTGCAGGGGGTCAGGGGAGAGTGAGTCCTAGGTTGGCTGAGCCCCCACCAGGAGAGATGGGCATGCGACAGAGCCAGGCCTGGGTCTCCCACCCGCTGCCACCCCCAGTACTTTCCACGCTGACGTGCTGACTCTTCACCCAGATCAAAGCTGGAAAACAATATGAGGGTGGAGACTTGGCTTCTGCTGCATGCCCTCAGTCAAGTCCCTTCATCTTCCCCTCTGTGCCTCAGTTTCTCCCTGCTCCAGAGGTAAATGAGCTGCCCGCTTGGGGCACTGGGAGCTGCTGCCTGTGGGTGGAGGGAGCAGGCTGGCTTCATGGTTTGGTTCCTGCAGGAGCTAAGAGCCCCAAAGCCCAGATCCGGCTCCTGGTGTAGGACTTTCTGCTCTGTTGCTTAGCAAAAGGCAGGCACACCTGGACCCGACCGACCGGTTTGGGGAAGGAGAGCCAAATGCCCCAGGGATCGGAGCGTGAACAAGCCCCGGCTGGTCTAGCTGGAATCATGCAGCTGCTTGGAGAATCTCAGATTTGGGACAGGGATTGGAACTGTGCTCCCTGGACCCATGCCCTGATTGTAGCAGTATGAGATCTGGCCCCCCAAAAAGTCCCAGGGCAGAGAAATGTTCCCCCCCATCCCAGTTGGAGGGGGGAGACTGGCAGGAAGAGATGGACTTACATCCCCTATGTCCACCAGGCCCCGAAGGTAGGGACCCAGTTCTGATGACCAAGGGGAAACTGAGGCAGTGGCAAAAGGACTGCCCAGAGGTCCACGATGGGGTGGCTTGAGGTTGATGATGGAGTCCTTGCGTGGCAGCAGGGAGCCAAGGCCTGGCCGCCATGGTGCTAGGCGCTGTACAGAGGCAGAACAATGCCCACTGGCTGCCCCCCGGTGGCCCTAAATCCCTGACTCTGCCCAAGTCTCTGCACTCTCAATACTACATGACCTGTCCTGCGCCCCTGCCAGCAGCCTGGGGTGGCTGGCACACTCCCAGCCTAAGCTAATAGCTGCCTCCACCACACAGTTGCTTCCTTCTCCCTCCTGCCCATCCCACCCTGCTTGGTCACGGCCGGATGAGGCACAGCATCTGCCCCACCTTGCAGCCAGCCTTGCCTGTATCCTGTCCCTGGCAGCGAGAAGAATCAGGCCCAATCCCCACTTCTTCCTCAACCAGCCCTGAAATGGCTCCAGCCTCCTTGGGGCTGATCTCAGGAGAGCGGGTGCCCCAGATCACTGGGCATCTGCTAAGTCATTGCTCCCCTTCACACCACACTAGGCAGGAAGAGGGTGGAGGCTGCGTTCACGCCCTGTGCACAAGTGTTCATGAGCAGCGAGGCATGAGGCTACACCAGCCCTGCCTTGTGCCAAACCCAATGGTACAAGACAGCAGCTCTCTATGGGCCCCTAAAGGCCTGCGGGATAGTCTCCCAGCTGCATGTGGTCGAAGCCATGAGACCCCTTCCATGCAACAGCCTGGAAGTGCTGGTGCCTGGCTGGGAGCCACCTGGGTTCCTCATGGGGCCCTTTGGCGTGGCTGTTCAGCACACCCAGTTTGCACGTATACCTGGGCAAAACTAGGGATGCCGCCTGCCTTGAAGGGACCCATTTTAGCTATAGGACGGGCATCATGGAAAGCAAATGCCAGTGCAAAAGGGTGTGCTGTAAAGAGTGTGATGGGCCAGATAACTCAGCCAGCGGGGAAGCGATGCCCGGGCTCAGAGGAGAAGTGGTATCTGATGTTCTCTTGCCCCGCTCAACCCCCATAGGGAGAAATGGACCAGGCGGCAGGAGCATTGCAGATGGTTTCATTCAGCATAGCTGGGGCTCAGGGCCAAGACCACAGCAATGCCCAGCATGGCACGGGTCTTCCACCCACCCAGACTGTCTGGGCAGCCAATGGCTCATGCCCATCGCCCTCCTTCCACTGCAGCATCCTACCAGCAACAGGACCAGCCCAGGTCAATGCATTGCTGTGCAAAAAAAAGGCTCCGCAGGTGACTCAATCAGCAGCTATCAGCCTGGGCCCTTCACCCTGCTCTCCTGTGCTGTAATCCTGATGCCAGGGCCTGGGCCAGTGCAATGAGAGCAGCCAGGTCAGCAAAGCACAGAGCTGCCGGTCCTTATCAAGGGGTTTTCTCCTTACCAGGGCCCCTTCAGTGCCAATGCAGTCCAGACTCAGGTGAGCGGCTAGCTCTGTGCCAATGCAGTCCAGACTCAGGTGAGCAGCTAGCTCTGTGCTCCTAGAAGTAGCCAGGGTGAGGATTAACCCTTTGCAGCTGCCTAGCTGGGTCCAGAGGCAGGTACCATTGTGCTCCTGAATCACCTGCGGGCCCCGAGTCCGTATTTTCCTGCTTCATCCTGGCAGAGCCAGGCCATTGGTGGTGCCTGTCCCAGGTCCAGGTACCAGGGGGCTGGGAGAGCCCACTCCAGGCCCTCCAGCCCCCTCGGTCACCCCCAGTAGCGCGCCTTGGGCACGGTGGCACCAGGCTTCTTCTCCAGGGGGCCTTCAGGCCCATCTGCCGTCGCAAACAGGTCCTGGGGCTCCAGCACGAACATGCTGTAGAGGTTCCACAGAAGCATGGTGAGCAGCGGCAGGAAGGTGAGGCCGAAGCCGAAGCCACGGAAAGAGCGGCCCATGGCATAGGAGACCCAGTACAGCAGCCTGGGGGAAAGAGAGAGTCGGGGTGGAGGTCAGGAGACCAGACAGGGCTAGGAGTGCAGGAGGTGTGGTCCCCACCCCTCCCTTGTCTCCTGCTTGGCTGTGAACCCAAAGTGTGTCACAGCAGGTCAGTAGTTGCAGGGGAGACCACATAGGTGGGCTTTGCCAAGGGGGTGCTCTGCCTCCCCACATCAGCAGGGTGAAGGGGGCCTGGCAGCTTGGGTAATGCCCTAAGGGGCATTTCCTCTTTCAGTTTTGCAGCTGACTCTGTAGGCAAAGGTCCCTTGAACCCTCCCTGACCCACCTGGAGCCCAGAGGAGGGGCCCACACCTCACCTGGAGATGGCGAAGAGCCCCGTGAGCAAGGGGATGAGCTTCAGGGCCTCCTGGGGCAGGTAGGTAGCCAGCACGGCGAGGTTGAAGAAGTAGAGGATGAAGAGATGCACGGACTGGGCAACATAGCCTCGGTGGATCTCCACCTCCCGCCGTAGTTCCCCGAAGGGCTGCAGCGCCGAGAAGCAGAGACGCGAGATGCCATACACAATCATCCCTGCAGAGAGAGTGGGGTGAGGCCGGGGAGGAGAAGAACCTGGGGCACAGACAGACAGATGAGGCTGTGTGGGCTGGGGGAGGTGGGCAGAAAGGGAGAGAGAGGTGTGAGTGGATGGACATATGGATGACGCCCAGGGCGAGAAAGAGATGGAAACCTCCTTGCATAGACACTCCTCTTGGTATCTGCTCCAGCACTGACCCACCCTTGCACTCCTTTTCCTCACTCCCCCCTATTATTCCCATTGTACAGATGGGCACTGGAGAGGCTGAAGGACATGCCTGAGGTTGCTTGGTGCATCAGTGGCAGAGAGCCTACCTCTGCAGCTGCCACCCTGTTGAGTAGATGATTCATGATGTGGTCAGAGCAGCTAGGTGTCCCAATCCCGGACCTTGGCCTGGCTGTGCTAGGAGCTGTACAAACCCAGACTGAAAGTGTCCTAATTGCTGCACCACCCAGCCTTCCTCTGAGTCAGAGGAGCTGCTCTCAGGCCCAGACAAGGGAGAACACCAGGACGCTGGTGGTTGGGGGCTAGGGACCCCTCACCCCCTGTTAGACTGTACTGGGACCCAGAGAGCTCCCAGAGACCTGGCTCACCAAGGATGATGGGGAAGGTGGCGAAGGTGCCACAGCGAAGGGTGTAGATCAGCCGGATGCTCATGCTGGGCATTGGTGGGGCATCGAAGGGCAGGAAGACGTAGGCCCCGTACACGAAGCAGGGGTAGAGGATCATGGCCGCCACCATGGAGGCCACGGCTTTGAGGTTGGCCTTGCTGCAGCTGGAGCACGGTGGGCATCCGCTGGGCACCCCGGGCTGCTCCTTGCCGTAGTGCCTGGGGCTGCAGGGCACGAAGAGCTGCTTCTCAGAGCTGCTGGTCTCTTTTTGGGTGCTTTCGCCATGCCGAGGCACCGGCTGTTTCCAGGCGCTGGTCCCTGCTGAGCTGCAGTGCCCAGGCGTCCGCTCGATGCAGCAGGTATCGATGGGGATGAACATGTGAACTGCCTTCTCTGGCATCTGATTGACTTCATCCTCTGTCTGCTCCTTCAGTGGGGCAGGACTGAGGAAAGCCTTGGCCTCTCCAGGACACTCCAACTCAGTGCCTTCCTGGATCCCCTCCGGGCTCGGCCTCCGCTGTCCCTTGGACTCTGCCTTAGCCAGGGCTGGGGGCTCCCCAGTC